GACATGCTATACTGACTTTTTTCGACATGCTATACTATGACATTTTTCGACATGCTATAATATGACATTGACATACTATACGATTACATTTTTCAACATTCTAAACTAAAACATTTTTGACACAGTATTCTGACTTTTTTCGACATACTGTATAGTATGACATTTTGTAACATACAATATTTTGACATTTTTTTAACATGCTATAGTATGACATTTTGATGTCAAAAAATTATCATAGTGTGTATCATACTATTACTATTACTCACTTAAACACATTGTGTTTGTCCTTGATCTCCAACAAATTACTTGGATGTGTTTCCTCCCTTATAAAACATTCATAAAGCTAATTGTAATTTCTTTAAATCCAGCATTATGTATTTTAATGTTTACCAGCTGCAGATGTCGTCTCCTGTCTTGTAGTCGCTGGCACATTGCAGCACATCTGTCACCTGTACATCAGTTGAATAATGTGAAAGTATTGGCAGGAATGTGTCCTTGTGTATCTGAGTACATCTTCATCCTCTGTTTCTCTGTCTCTTCTAGCGGACGCTTCCTCAGCATTATACTGAAAATAGAAGAAATGCTTCACAGTTGGTTTCCTCACATCAGACCAAACCTGACTGTGACAGACGACTGCACTCCGGCCAAAAGGCAAAAGGTAAAGATGTTCAAAATAATACAAGCACACGAAACACAATTCTGATAACTGATTGATAATTTCAGCAGCGTTTAAAACAAAACTTCACAGCTTCTTGGACTGTAAATATTCCTTTGAGGACATTTCATAGATGATTAATGGAGACTGAAATATGTCGATCAGTCTGGGAGGAAAGTAGTCATTGAAAAATAAACTGCTGCACAGTGAAGTTTATGTGTTGTTTATGGAGTGTGTCAGCTGGGAGGGATGTGGCTCTCATGGTAAGAGGAGAGTCAGATTATGTAACAGAATCCTGGAAGAGGACAGCTAAAGTATTAATGTGTTTTTACTGGAGATGATTTCATCGTTTCATAAGAAGAGTACAGGTCACATAATGAGGGGGAAACCAGAGCGGCCTCGCACAAAGAATGTGCTGAATAAATCCACATTTGGAGACAGAGGATGTCGTGGGATTCACAGAATACAAACCAAACAAAGAGTCAGATTCCTGCTCCTCTCAGTTTCACAGTTGTGGCTAAAAATGGCCTGTCGGTCTCAGAGTCACCAAAAATACATGGTGTTTTCTTGGAACAGGTTTTTTAGAGATTTTGCTGAAACACAGGAAGGCTGCAAACCTCAAGGTCACTCACTGTGTCCTCAGCCAAACTAATCATCATGTCCGCTGATTGGAGGACATCAGACGCAGTCTGACATCCGAATCTCACCACAGACTTTTAACTGAATAGGCAGGTGACTGACACTGGCTCGTATGTAACAAGCGTCTCAGAGGAGAAAGCGTTTCCTAACTGGCAGGAAATTCTGAGTGATGTGTTTTTGGTCCAGTTATCTGTGGGAAATGGACGCTGCTTGTCTGGAGAGACGACTCTACTTTTAGTACACTAACAGTGAAGAAAAGGGAGTTCTCACACACTGTCCCTTCACTTACATTAACGTTATTAGATAAACAATATTTTGCTCGTCAGACAAAACACAGAAAACTTGAAAATATATTTAAGGGTTGAGGGGAAAATCGATACAGCATAGTATCCTGATATTTTGTGTGGCAATATCATAAGTATAAGTATTGTTTTTATTACATAAATTATTAATATTACAAATACAAATTAAACTTTTGGTAGCCGACTGGAATTATAAACTGCTGTTGCTTTTTCTGTCCACTAGATACATTTTGCTGCAAATAAAATGATTGAAGTGAGATGAACAAAGTGAAAACTTTATTTTCAGTTTAAAAAAAGGTAGATTGCAATTTATCCCAGGAGTAATATCATATCATGATTTCAGTATCGTGATAATATCGTATCATGGATCCTCTGGTGATTCCCACCCTGATACATATCAGTATCAGCTACTGAGGGTTTTTTTCCCTACAATCAGGCTCCACCTCACCATCTGCGTCGCCAATTTCCTGTTGCCAAAATGTTGGTAAGCATGGGTCAGAGTTTCTCCCATCAAGTCTGTTTTCATACGTCACAACTTTTTACAGGCCTCTTTTTGTGTGTACGCAGTGTTTGTGAGACTCCTGCTGATTGAAACCAGTAAAAACACGAATAATAAGACTAAATGAATAAAGACGTTTCATGTTAAAAAAAGAAACGAATGTCTCCTTCTAGAGCCAGCGTTTGGTTTGTCCATTCTGGGCTACTGTAGAAACATGGTGATCTCTGTAGACGAGGATCTGCTCCCTGGAGGACATTAACAGAAATAAAAGTCTGCAGTTGACAGGAGATGTGACTGAAGGGAGGAGTGAGACGGTGGAAGGGAGGAGTGAGACAGTGAGACGGTGCAAGAGAGGAGTGAGACAGTGAGACAGTGGAGGAGAGGAGTGAGACAGTGAGACAGTGGAGGAGAGGAGAGGAGTGAGACAGTGAGGCAGTGGAAGAGAGGAGTGAGACAGTGAGGCAGTGGAAGAGAGGAGTGAGACAGTGAGGCAGTGGAAGAGAGGAGTGAGACGGTGGAAAATCATGCAACGTGTGCAATAAGAGACATGTAATAATAATGAGACTGGAAACAGGTCATGTGTCGTCTCAGTGTTGGAACAATAACAGCGTGTTGATAATTCTCATTATAAATTGAAGCTCTTTGTTTAATGTGTTGTGACTGTGATGATGATGTCATCTCCTGTTTCCTCTGCAGCAGCATCACAGCAGTGCCTCCCCTCCTCCACCCTCTCCGGTGTCGCTCTGCTCCTCCGACTCCTCCACTCACCTCAAGTGGCTCCACACGTCCCCCATCTGCTCCCTGAAGACGCCTCAGTCCATGCTCACCCAACCCGCCTCCTTCGCTTCCCCTCCGCCCACACGCTGCAACCAGGAAGTGACCCAGGACAACTCCGTCTCCTCCAGCACTGACTCATACTCAGTGCCCCTGCGACGTCGTCTGGGTGCTGAGCTGCGCCTCAGCCGAGGGCCGCTGCCCTACAAGATCAGCTCGCCGTGTCTGGAGAGACTCCTGCAGGCGAAGGAGAGCATCATCACGCCGAGGACGGTGGGAGACGGAGGCTGGTTGTGTTGAGAGAGAATGCTGGAGGTCAGCTGCTGATCTGGGGTCAGATCAGGCGGGATCTCATCACTCCAGCTTCCACAGGAGAAACTACAAGGCCTTAAAAAAACGCATGTTTCAACGTCTTCTACATCTTTTTTATTTTGACTCTGCAGCTGAGGTGGCGTTCGCTCCGACCTCAGGTTCTCCAGCAGGAAGTGACGCAGACGGGGCCTCGGCTGGAACCACTGGTGTTGATGACGGCTGACTTTCAGGACACTTTGAAAGCAGCCGTGTGTGCGAGGACATGTCAAAGCTCTCGGTGGAGTTTCCACTAATATTGCAGTTGGACGGAGTTCATGTTGTAACGAGGTCACAGGTTTAAACGATGATGGCAGACTGAGCGAACATGAGTCAGGAGCTCTGAGGTTCTTCTGAGAACACGGATCAAATCTGACTGAAGACACATGAACATCTGGAGAACCTGAACACTGACACTGTTTGATCTGCTCCTCTTTAGGTTTTAATGACTCTTCTACCTCACTCTGACATCACCAGTCTGACCGCACAGCTGCCACCGCTGTTCGGTAACAACACCAGAACTCTGACAGGAGCAGAGAACAGCAGCGTTCCTTTCAGATATAAGAAGGTCTAATATTGTTTTCCAGTACTGAGATATATCAGGATGTGGCAGAGTCAGATTTAAATGAGCTTAAATCTACAGTTTGTTTTTCAGAGCGATTGTAAAGGTTTCATCAGCACAGAACGATTTGATCTGAAACTTTGATCGAGCTCCTGGTTTTCATTGATCGATCAGTTTGCCTTCAGGCTGGTGAACATTCAGGACGTCAGTGACAGTAAATAAACGGTGACAGTGCCTGTGAACATTCAGATTTGAGTGCTGTTATGAAACCCAACAGTCACAGGGACCCCAGAACCCCCGACACAGTTTCAAAGAGAGGTTTGGATTTTGAATTAATGTCAATACGACACTCACTGGACTCAGAGGGAGTTATCTGTCGCTGTTATCTTTTAATTTGTCTCCACACGAGCTGCAAAGAGATTCTGTCTCAGTGTCCTTGTGTTGTGTGAGAGGAATACGTCGCCCCCTTCAGCTTCTTGTTTTTGGCTGATCCAGCCTGTTAAATCAGTGACAGCTTTCAGATCTGGATTGTGTGGTTAATGTGCTAACTGGCTAACTAGTGTCAAGACGCTGTTCCTGTTCCCCGTTTTGAATGACAACTAAAGACGACCGCCGTCTGCTGGTGTGGAGTTATTTCCTGTCACACAGGTGCAGAAGCACGAGCCGGCTGGCTGTCAGCTGTGGTCTTTGCAGTGTGTTAACATGCAACTTTTGGGCCGAGACACAGGCGACATGAAGCGACAGTTTTCATCGCCGCTACTTTAAAGTCCATTTGGTGCATCTGGACGACAGCAACCACTGCGTGACTGAGTATTTTTACGCTTCAAGTCTATTCTCTTCTGTTTTACACGTGGAACAACAGCGGGTGTTTCACTCTGGGCGCTGCCAAAACACAGGTGGCCTACACTCAGTACTGCCCCTGAACGCCTCCTGTAGACAGTGTGTTTGTTCAAATTAAAAAGTGACACCTGTCACAGCGACTGATGACTCTTTAAAGTCCGTGTGAGTGTAGTATGAAGACAGAACTTAAAGTCCAGACGTGTCCGACATGAGCAGCCGCTCTGACCTTTATGTACATAGTGGATTTTTTTTCTTCATGGTTTTGTTCTCTCTGAGGAGATGGCCTTTGTCATATTTTGTACTTCTGATAATAAATAAATGTGATGTTTGCTTTCTGACAGGAAATCAGTGTCTGTCGTTAATCACCAAACTGACAACACATCAATTCTGCAGCATTTATTGTTGTTTTTTTTGTATGCTTCAGGGAAACTCGGCGTCGGCAATGAAAACAATAAATATGGATATTATGCAAAACATTTTCCTAATGAAGCATTTTACACAATGTACAATATTCTTTTTTTCCTCCAGCGCTCGCCTGAATATTCTATACACATTTCCAAACAAATAAACAAACCTCCATGCAGAAACCCTGAAAATGGGATGTGGAGTAATGAGCAAAAAAAAAAAACAAAAAACAAAACACTAAATGCACTTCTCGTGTGGATTTTTGTGTCATTTAAAAACTGCTAATAAACCACGAGGAGAAATGAAATCTGTGCCGTTTGAAATACATAAAATGATTTAAAAAGTGGCCCGTCAGCTCAGGAGTTCCCTACGACTGGTGCACTGATGACCAAGCATCTGTGTGTGTGTGTATGTGTCTGTGTGTGTATGTGTCTGTGTGTGCGTGTGTATTCTCGTACAGTCCATGTGTGTGTGTTCAGATAAAGTCCGTGTGGCCGCTTGTTGTTTATTCATGTGTGCGTGTGAAGTGCCTGTGTCAGTAGTCCGTGTCGGAGCCCTCCGCGTTGTCCACGTTTCTGGAGAGCATGTAGTTGTCCATGTCGATGGAGCGGCAGTTGTTGATGGCGTAACGCAGCCGCTCCGCCATGACGGCCTGGCTGGAGTACGGAGGCAGACGCAGCTGGAAGAAGCAGGTCTGAGAGGTCGGCAGGCTGTCGTACGGCTGCAGAGGATAAAAACACACACAGAGGTACAAACAGTTATCGACTGATGTAAAGGCTGTCCTGATAGACAAATGGTTTCCTGTCTCTGCTCCGTCATATCAGATATGAAAAGGCAACTAAATGCCAAAAAATAATCCTAAAAGAAAAACTATAACTACAGATGTGAATGAGTCTCTGTGTAAAACCTGTTCTTGAGTGAATTAAGACACAATTCAAATATAAACTGGCCGTATTGTTGACCAACACGCAGCAGGTTAACGTCTTCGTCTTCACTCACCCTGTCCACCTTCATGATCTGAAACCTCTGAGAGATGTCGGCCGTGTTGGCGGGCAGCCTGGAGCGTCCAGAGACGAAGCGCATGAAGAGGACTCGCTCCTCGTTGGAGAATTCCTCCAGCGTCTGCCAGAACCACTGCACCAGGGAGTGCTGCTCATCCACCTCTCTGTAGCGCACCACCTTCTTCAGCACGTCGCAGCAGATCTCCGGCATGCCGCACACCATCTGCTCCAGCTGCTTGGCCGTCAGCAGGGAGAGCAGCGGCACGGGCACGATCCACGACATGCCCTCACGCACCGCCGCCACCTGACGGAGGAGCAGGGACAGGACAGGGGTTAATGTTTGAGCTCAGGGTGGAGGATGAATGTTCTCCTGACTCATCACTTCACTCTCATTACAAAAAGACATAAAACCCTTTATGATGAACACACAGAGAGTTGGTTCTTTTCGTCTCTGAGTTTTCAAAGGAGCTGAACAGAAATTTGTTTCAGGTGCTCAGAGCACTGACGGTACATTTCAAAAAATCTCTCCTGAAAAAATGACTATAAATATATGCACAAAAATGTTGCCTTCATTCTGAAAAATAATATTCCTACGAAGCTGTTGACACGACCAATGAAGATCAATGTTCCACTAATATTCCTGTTTCCGTGCAGCCGTGTGTCCTCTGATTGTTATTTCATAATGACACAGACGTGTAGTCATGCTCTGCAGCGCTCACATCACACACACTGGGTGCGGTTACATGATGGCTTCTCATTCGGAATGAAATAAATCTGAATGAAATCATTCGGAATT